TGTGGCGTCATGACTGGAACAACATTATTCATGGTAATTAATAAATAATTCCTTCTCAATTTAATCAAAAAAAATTTTCAACGGTTAAAAACAATAAAAAATTTACTCTGCATAAAAGTTCATATATATCCACGATATAATGCGACTTGTAATGACAATTTTGTCTGCAATTCACTTCGGATCGTAATAAAATTTATATTAGTTATTCTTTGGGCGTACAAATCGATTGATTAGTTTCAAAGTAAAAGCATCAAGAATTTTCAAAAATAAAAAAAAAGTAATTTTTTTAAATTGCAGAGAAATTAAATTAATTAAAAATCTTCCTCTGCAAATTTATTTCATAAATTTTCATACAAATCACCTAAAAAGCCTCTTAAAAAAAAATTATTTATTTTTGACGTTCCAAATACATACCAGCTGTAAATTTTTGAACAAAATTAATTGACTAAATAAATAAAAAATTAACAACGCATCATTTTTTACCAATCTGTTCCAGATCACACTTATTTTCTTCGCCATCATCATCAGTACCAACGGCGAAACCTACAAATGGAAGGACTACGATGTAACCAGCGAAACTTTATCAAAAAACGGAGTCAAAAACTTCACAAAAACCCTCTCAAGAACAGTGAAAGGAATTACAACCGTCGACCAGATTGCAAAGCTCACAAATGAAACTACGAAGAAAATAATATTTACCGATCGTTTGATTACCACCACAAACAACGGGGTCGTAACTTTGGATCGCACTTTGGAAAAATTCAACCCTTTGAGCAACGAATTCATCAACGATCGCTTCTTCAACAGTTCTAAGAACGGGACAGTGAGTTTCGTTAATAAAATAAAAATTAATTCCAAGGAAGGTCATCGAACCATTGATTATTCAGCGAACAGTCGCGATCCAAACTCGGATAAAATTGTCAAGACAATATTCACTAAATATCATAAGGCAGAGCGCACTGTTTTGAAATTTAGTCTCGATGGTGCATAAATCTATCGAACAATAGACTCTATGAACAGGGATGGAAGCAGAAGTATTCAAGATTCAAAGGCGGTAGTTTTGAAACTTTTGAGTACATGGTTACGGAAGTCAACGGGTACAACTTCGTGACTTCTGTCGACCGATCGGTTTCAACTATCAGCGGTGAAGAAACTAAAGCTGTTGATAGAGCGATTACAGTTTTCAATTTTCAAGATGGTTCTAGGACTGTTGATCGGTTTGTCACAGAGAAGGATTGTTATGGTGGACAAATTAATGAGCGGATCGTCAAGATTCTTGCTGCTGATGGCGTTGTACTTTATTCAAAATCATTGAAGTCAGAAACAAACGCTGAAGGAGGTCTTGATGCTTCAAAAGGGATGAAGAATCTCGCGAGATCTCATCTCGCTTTTATTTCGCTGCAGATTGTTGAAGAGGAAATGTTGGATATTGCTCGGAAGCTTCGGAAGACCCGGAATATTTTTAGTGAAACATAAATTTTTTTGAATTTTTTGTAAATTTAATAAAAAATAGTTTTTAATTTAAGAACTACTCTTGCTTGATTTTTTTTTTCTTAGAAATAAAAATTGACATCATTAAACCTATATGAACGTGATACTGCGCTCAATTAGTTTTTTTTTATTACATCTTAAATATTTACTAAAATTATTCAAAAAAATTAGAAAAACGGTTCACCCTAAAGGCCATCCCTGCAACTTCCCGCTCATTTTGTACTTAAACGCTTTAAACTACACATTACGTTTTTGAGCTCTTCGAGCTCAAAAATATTATTTTTGTGTCAATTTGAGCTCTTCGAGCTCAAAACTCTAATAGCAGTTTCAAGACACAATTTTTTGAATTTTCAAACGGCAATAACTTTTGAATGAATGAACCGATTTTCACGCGGTTGGCGGCAATCGACGCAGTTTTTAAAGCTCCATGAAAAATTTTTAATTTTAAATCGATCGAGCCATGAATTTCGAAGTTATTACAAAAAAACACTTTTTTCGATTTTTTTCGACAACGATATCTCACGAACGCATCAACCGATTCTTACGTTTTTGGTGGCGATCGATGGGGGTTTTCAAGATTAAGAGCTGATTAGTTTTTGAGACCGATCGGTTCAGCCAATTCAGAGATATTTAAAAAAAATAAAAAAAGAAACAACTTTTTTTTCACTTTTTTTGCATTTTCTTGAAATCTACCGGTCCGAATCGGTTCAAATTTTCAGGAAATCTAAGTTTAGTGAAGCCCTTTCGAATGGCACCAACCGCGATGAAATCGGTCAAGTTGTTCAAAAGTTACAAGAGTTTTACACACACACACACACACACACACACACACACACACACACACACATACATACGGACGTACGGACATCATCGTAAAAATAGTCAGGGAAGTTTCCTGTGACCTTCAAACGTCGAGATCTGATGAAAACTCGATTTTTGTTAAACGGGGTGAAAACAATAACTTCCCGATTTTTGAAAATCTGAGATTTTTAGCGGGAAGTTAAAAATTTGACTTTGTTTCTTGAACATTTTAGAATATATTAATAATTTTTTTAAATATCTTCTAAAACGTTAAATTGCTGAAAAAAAATTTCTTAGAAAAATTTGTGGCAATTCGCGGGGCTTTCTCATCGCTTGACTATCAGAGTCGTAAGTAGTTTTTTGTCAGCGGCGTTGCCGAAAACACCTCTAGTCTCTGCCTGTCAAACGTGCATGAACTGGCAACACTGTAGGGTTAAAAATTTCAATGTTAGCTATTATTTATGTAAATTTTCGGTTAAATATTATCAGCTTTTTAATAATTATTTGAAAGCTTAAAAATAAAAGTCAAGTAAAAATTCAAAATAAATTGTATTCTACTAAGCTTCAAATTTTTTTTCTTTAAATGAAAAAAATTGCCATTTTTTATTACAATATACAATTTTACAACTTACAATATTTTATAATTTTATTTAATATAAAATATCTTTAATTGATTAAAGATAAAGATCTAAATTCATCAATTATTTTTTTTTCTATTACAAAAATCTCTTAGCCCAAATTACTCGCTGGTAATTTACATTTTAATATAATTATATTAAAACACAACATTGATTTAAAATGCATTTTTGGGTAATTGGTTCTTAGAATTTGTATTGACGTCAAAGTATTTGTTATTATTTATGATAATATACTCTAATGCATTTACATTTGGAGGTGAGTCACCGACAATCACTCAAGTGTTAATGTAATTAAAATTTTTATTATTTATCACCTAAGGCTTCTTGAGAGAAAGATTAGTGTTCATGTAATTTACAATGTTATTTGTCACTTTCTAAAGAGACATTATTTTATTTCTGTTAAATTTTCGAGTAATTTCCTCTCAAAGTTTAACATAGTTCTCTGCAAATGAAATCTCCAGGTGTAAATATTTTGAGAATTTATTTTTATCATTACAATAGGCTCATTGTAAGAAATAAGTTTCGGAATTTTAATCCCAAGGCTTGTGGAAGGCTAGAAGTACTTGAAAAAGATGACGTAGTATAATACTTAGGCTCTGAAAAATGAGTTTCTAATGACTGGCTAATTACATGCAACCCTGATAAAAAAAAATTTGTTTTGAAAAAAAAAAAAATACATAAAGTATTTTAACAAAATCTAATTTTAATTAACTAATTAAAATTATTTTTTCATTTATTTCTTATAATTTAATATATTAAAAATATACAAAAAAAAAACTGTATATATATTAAAAGTATTAAAAAAAATATTCAAATATAACCACACAAAAAAATATATCATACCGATATTTTTTACATTAATTTAAAAATTAATCCCGGAAAAAATTTTTAATTTATGAAAAATTCATATTATTTCATTAGACTTATAATAATAATAATAATAACAATAATATTTTTTTTTTGAAACAAAAAATGGAGCGATCTTTCGGGGGGTGTTTGTTTTTTAAGAAAATTGTGAGTGTGATACAATTATTATTATTATTTTTATTTTATAACAATTTTAATGAAAATTATATTAATTTTTCATACTCTTAAAATTTTTTCCGCTTACCATTTAAAAATATATGCATATACATTTTTATACAAGTATTTTTTATATATATATTCTAAAATACCTTCTTACACTTTTTTTTAATATTTAAAATATATAGAATATATAAAAAAATTGGTAAATTAAAAGATAGTTATCAAAAATATATAAATTACATAAATTTTCTATGTAAATATTTTATATTTCATATTTTTCTCTATAGGGGCGTAACTTACAAAACCAATTTAGAAGAGTGGGGGGGGCCTCATCTAGTGTCACCGATAATTACGGACCCAGAAAGCTCATTCACCCGACAGACTTCTTACAGTTAACGTGCAGAAATATTAAGTAATACAATCCGACAAATTCTATCCAGCAAGCATGGCCAAACCGACATTTTCTGTAAGTTTCACAAACCTCTTTTATTAAAATGAATTTATTTCAATCATGTTTATTAGGTGTAACAATTTTTTTCTAAATTTTCAAATTTATTATCGTTTTATTTTATTCAAATTTTCAATTTAATAATTTTAATTTAACTTATCATCAAACACACATAGAAAAAAATTTATTAATTTACTTACGTAGAAACAATTTAATAATTTATTGAGGATCAATTTATTTTTTTTAATAATTATTTTTTAAGGAAAAAATTACATTTACAATTATTTTTAGAACTGACTTAGTCTTACATTAATAATTTATTTGAAATAAAAATTTTTTTTTAATTGAAAATCACAAAAAGTATCAAAATAAAATTTCAACAATAAATTTATTTTAAAAAGTCTAAATAAATATTTTTAAAAATTCTACTTAAAATTAAAATTTATTTATTAACAGCTGATAAAATTAATAAATTAAAAAAATTTTTTTGTCAGTGAATTTTTAATTAATTATTAATAATTAATTATTATTAATTAAAAAATATTTTCTTTATTATTAAAAATAAAATAAAATAAATTTTAATAATTTCAGCTCTTGGGAATTTTCCTGCTAATCACAATTGCTACTGCCGCCATCATAATTGAGCCGATCCCAGACAAAAATGTGACCAGGCGTTCAGTCGTGATAGATTCCATAAAAAAATTAGGAGGCGATGCTTTGGACGTCGTCGACGGTACATTCGATTTTCTCGGCAGACTTTTCGGCGTAAACAGTAAGCGTCCAGTGCCTGTAGCGGTGAAAAACATGGATGATCTCAGAAAGGCAATTTTGTACCACGACGACGACGAGGTGACAAAGATTCTGCTGAGGGAAAACTTCTTCAACAGCGAGATCGTCGCCGCTCGTTACCGTCAAAGATTCTGGAGCGACATAAAGAACGACATTAAGGCGAGTTTCACCGGGGCGTATCGTGATCTTTTGGTAGCTTTCGTTGAGGACAAGTACGAGTTCCTTGCCAAGGAACTTCACGACGGAATTTTTGGAATATCTGGCGGAAATATCTACGCTGGTCTCGACGTCCTTTGCAACCCTAAAGCTGACCAAATCGCCCAAATTATCAGAGCTTATAGATTAAGTGAGTAATAATTGTTTATTTTTATTATTTATTAACGTTATGTTTTTTTTTAATCATTATCATTATTAATACGCTGTAAAAAATTTTTGAGTAGGTAATTTTTAATTTATTAAATTATTCTAGTGAAATTTACGCTAAAAAAAATTTTATTTATATTATTATTCGTAAAAAAAAAATTTTAAATAGTTTTAAAAATTAATTCTTTATTTTTTTTTATTAAAAAAATTTTTTTTTTATTTTTTAAATTAATATAAAATTTTCTCTCAGTTTTGGTAAAACAATTAATTTTTATTATTAATAAAAAATTGCATTAATGTCTTGTTAATTTATACAAATAGAATTTATTAATAAATTTTCTTTATAATAATTTATTTATTAAGAAGCTTAAATAAAAATTGCCGTATAAAAATTAATTTCAGTAATATTAAAATAATTAATTTTATTTAATTAAACGTAGTAAAACAAAATAATCTATAGAACAATTTAGTTAAATATTCATAAAGTGAAAATTCAGATAAATTAAGAGTATTTATCAGTAATTTTGAATTTGAAGCTTTTTTCAGTTCAATTAAAATTTATTTTAGTCCAAATTTTCCCCAGTGTATTCTTATCATTATAAATTACAATAAAGTAATTTGAATTTTTTTTTTTTTAGAATACGGACGTAAACTTACAAGCGATTTGGCCTACGTACCTGACTTAAACATAAGAGCTTCAATAATGCGATTCGCTCAAGGCCAGAAACTTAGTCAGTACGCGTACAATCCTGCGATGGTCGAATTTTCTGGATACGACAGAAATGACGCCTATTACAATGAACGTAAGTACTGAAAATTTATCATGATGAATAAATTTATAAATTTTAACAACTAAAAATTAATAAAGATATAATTAATAAATAATTATAATTGATAAGTAATTATAATTAGTAAATAATTATAATTAATATAATATATAATTAATAAAAAATTTTTTGTTTAAAAAATTTACAGTTTTGTGCACCAGAGACGGGCCTAGATTTTTCTCCGATCGTCTTCACTCATCTCTGATCTACGGCGACTACCGTGGTCTCACTCGTCTGATGATCACTCTCATTAATCACGATGGTTACGAATCAGTAATGAATGCTTATCAAAAGAAATATGGACAATCACTTATGGATACAATAAACGTGAGTAGTATATTTTAGTAATTTTAATTTATAGTTTTTGTAAATAATTTCGAGCATTATTGTATAAATTTAGCCTACAATTTTAATGAGATTTTAGTTAAATATTTTTAATAATTAATTCTATCATGATTGTTTGTTTCTAAACTGACAGAATTTTTAATTAATAATTAAATTAAATTAATTATTAAAATTATTAATTTATTTAATAATTAAATTAAATAATTGAATTAAATTATTTTTATTTGATTTTACAGTTACACACAACCGGTGCCTACAACTATGCTCTTTGGGTAATAATTGACATGGCAGCCAATCACAACCTTGTCTATACAGACGACATACCTTCTATCATAGTACGTAACTAATCCAAACCCAATAATTCGTCTAATGATTTTACAATGATTGATTTTATTCAATAAAAAAATAATGTGACTTTAGAACAATATGATGTACAAACAAAATAATTGAAATAAAATAATACTTTTTTTTTAAATAAAAATTTAATGAGTTTTCATTCACTCACAACTCCATCAAAGAATTTATTTTTCAACAGGTTATGGACTAGGAGAAACATCTGCCTTTTTTAGTGTTATTTAATTTTTTTACTAAATATTTTTATAAATTAAATTGATTATTCTATGCTAGGGAATAATTATTAAAATTAAAGATAATAATAATAATTAATGATTGGGATATTTATCAATTTATTTAATTGTAAAATAATTTAAGAGTGTATTGATTCTCAAGGTCGAAGGCTAAGTCATTCTTAATTACTTACAAGTTTAGGGAATTATGATGATTATCTGCTTAAGGCTTCTTTCTTGGAAATAAATGAAAAATTTAATTTCTTAACAGTAGATAAATATACTAAAAAATAAAGTAATTAGAAATTATTTGATAATATAAAACGAAATAATAATTTTCATGTGATAATTACACTGAATTAAACCAATAAACATTTTTTTTTCATTTATGAAATCATATTTTTCTTTCTTTGAAATGTCAATAGTAAAAATAAATTTTGAAGGACATAAAATAAGGCCTAACATGAAAAATATTACGCTTATTTTATAAAAAATTATTGGGTTATTTATTAACTATTTAAGTAGAGCATATTATATGTAAAATTAAATAAATAAATTTATTATTAATTAAGTTAAACAAAACGTTTTTTAATTATTTAGTTCTTAGAATTAATAATTTTATTTTATAAAAATAGATATTTATGAATATAATTTTTCCACGTGTTTCAGATAATTATTTTCCAGAAATTAATTTTACTTCCTTAAAAATTTTGATAGAGCAAAAAAAGATGTATTAATTCTAACACGTACACTACGAGTCTTATCACTTTTAAATTTGACGCTTCTACGAATTACTAATCTTACCTGGCACAGCTTGATACCCAATAAACGCAAAATTTTCATACTTCACTTTATTACAAGGTCATTTTACTAAAATTATTAACAATGTACAATAGAACAAAGGAATATTTTCTTAAATTATTCCCCGGCACGTATTCATTACTTGCGTATTAAAAAATATTTTTTAAAGAACACAAAATAGAACCTTGAAATAGCGATACCGGACTATACAAAAACGGTGACTAAACTTCAGCAGTCAGTACACAAATTTCGTGTCGATTCACGCTACAGTTTTCCTCAAAATATTCAAATCTGTTTAAGCTGAATAAATTACCGCTGCTGCGTTAAACTCAAGCATCATGGCTGGAACAACATTCATGGTAATTAAAAAAAAATTCCCTCTCAATTTCATCAATAAAAATATCAAACGCATTATATTTTTTCAATAAATTGTTACAGATCACGTTTATTTCCTTCGCTATCATCGTTGGTATCAACAGCGAAACCGGTTACTGGCATGGCTACCATGTAACTCGCGAAACTTCATACAACAGCATTTATAAAAACTTTACTCAGATCCTTAACAAAACAGAGGGTGAAATCACAACCGTCGACCGGACTGTTGAGGTGACAAATAATAGAAACAACTTCTCAGTATCTACCGATCATTCCATTACAACCATAAACAAAGGTGTCGTAACATTAGATCGAACTTTGGAAACATTTAATATTGATAATGTTCTCAGTTTACATGATCATTTCTTCAATATTTCGAGAGGTGACACAGTAACTACAGGCAGGAATTGCACGAAATGGGATTCTAACGATACAAATATCGAATATGTAGAAGTTACTAATGGAAAAAACCATGATCAGACCATTCATGTTACCACCGAAAGTATAATACAGGGTTACAATAATCATAGTGATCGCATTTGTCTAGTTTACAGAACAGACGGCTCGATAGAAATTTATTCTAATGAGACTCGATACTCGAGTGGGGAACTAGATATTATTGATAATTCGGTTGAATTTATCAAAAATAGTGAGCATATTGTTGATTTTAGTGAGACAATCTTTAATTCCGGATCGATTATAGGTATTACACGTATCGTCGGAACTTTTCACGGTCAAAACCTTATAAATGTTGGCTCAAATGATACAAGTATTGATCTATCAACAAACACTCGTCTTATTGTGATACTAGATGATAAAGGTGGAAAAAATATTACCCTGATCATTGAAGAAGTTTATGCCAATGGAACAGTGTTTCCTCAATCCAGGAATGCTAAATTTGACGCTAGTGAAGAATGCTATTCTACTGATGGTACTTGTGAATCGGAAGATAAGGTTTATATGCTACAAGACGCTGAACGCTATATTGAGAAAGCGACTAAACGGTTTTATGAATTAAGAAAGATCGAAGAAAAAGCGAAGAAGGAATTTCAGGATCTTACGGAAAGAAAATATAATTGTCCTCAATAATAATTCTTTTTTTTTGCACTTAACCGTTTTTTCTTCTCGTTTCATCTTGTTTTTTCTCAACACTTTAATTAAAAAATTATAACACTGATTGTATCAACAGTAGAAAATTTTATTAATACTATTTTGGATAGATAACACTAAAAATATTGTCTTGTAGATGAGAGAATTTTTCTCAAAACTATTTTGTAGTTTCAATTTAATGCACTTAAAATTTGGTATAAACTATCTTATTATGCCTCTCTATAGCCCCTGGTAGAAAAAAATCAAAAATTTTATTTTTAATGTTTATGAAAATTTAAACAAAATTAATAAGTAATGCTTCCATTCAATAAGTTATTTTTATTAAACGGGTAAAAATTATTTATTATAAAGAAAACGATGTAACTTGTTTATAATTGTATGTTATATATAAAATTTAATAAATAAATTGATTATTAATTGAGTTGGACAAAATATTTTTTAATTATTAAGTTCTAAGAATTAGTAATGTTGGTTTATAAAAATAGATATTTACATAAATAAAATTTTTCCACGTGTTTCAGATAATTTTTTTCTAGGAATTAATTTTACTTCCTCAACAATTCTGATAAAGCAAAAAAAGATGTATTAATTCTAACACGTACACTACGAGTCATCACTTTTGAATTCGACGCTTCTACGAATTACTAATCTTACCTGGCACAGCTTGTAACCCAATAAGCGCAAAATTTTCATACTTCACTTTAATACAAGGTCATTTTACTAAAAATATTAACAATGTACAATTGAACAAAGGAATATTTTCTTAAATTATTCCCCGGCACGTATTCATTATTTGCGTAATAAAAATTATTTTTCAAAGAATACAAAATAGAACTTTGAAATAGCGATACCGAACTATATAAAAACGGTGACTAAACTTCAGCAGTCAGTACACAAATTTCGTGCCAATTCACGCTACAGTTTTCCTCAAAATATTCAAATCTGTTTAAGCTGAATAAATTACCGCTGCTGCGTTAAACTCAAGCATCATGGCTGGAACAACATTCATGGTAATTAAAAAAAAATTCCTTCTCAATTTCATCAATAAAAATTTCCAACGCATTATATTTTTCCAAAAAATTGTTACAGATCACGTTTATTTCCTTCACAATCATCGTCGGTATCAACGCAGTAAAACCTTTCCTTATAAGGACTACCAAGTAACTCAAGAAACGTCATACGAAGGCGATGTTAAAAACTTTACTCAGGCTCTCAACAAAACAGTGGATAAAATCACAACCATCGACCGGACTGTTGAGCTCACAAATAATATGACCAACCGAAAAATATCTACAGATCATTCTATAACAACCACAAACAACAGCGTCGTAACATTTGATCGTACTTTGGAACAATTTGATGTTAACGGTAGTCTCACGTCGCATGATCATTTCTTCAATACTTCGAACGGTGACGCAGTAATTAGTGGTAAAAATTCCACCTTCGTAATAAAGGAAGACAGTCATAATTGGCTCAAAAGCGATTATTTAGAAGTTTTGGAGCAGCCAGGCCGTGACCCGACGATTGATGAAACCGTAAAATTCTATTCAGCCGGACACGAGTTACTGTTAGTCAATATAAGCCGTTGCCGTTTAGATAATAACCAGAGCACTCCAATATTTTTTTGTAACTCAAGAGTTATAGGTAACGAAAGAGGTAAGGCCATCAGCTATTCAATCGAAAGGACTGCAAGCGATGGTAGCCAAAATTTTGACTACAGTTTTACGAAAATAGATAAAGAGAACTCAGTAGTTATTTTTGGACAAGCTGAAGCGAATCTGGCTGCTAATGGCTCTGTATTAACTATTGACATGACTGACAATATTACCGATCCGTCAAATAAGTCTAAGAAAGTCAGTCATTTAATTATTATTAACGACGGAAGCGGTGAAAGTCCTGTTGAACAGACTATTCAATACTTTGCACATAATGGCACCCTGTTAGATTTAGAATTTTATAAGGGAACAGTGATAGATGAAATAATTTCTATTACTAACGGTACTGATGATAAAATTGTACGTGATCAAATGAATTTTACGATACACATATCCTATATGGATCTTGAATATACGAGGGGTAAGTCAAATAATGAGATGTTAAACTTAATTTTGAACTGTCAGTCACTTTTGAATAAAGATTCTTGTTGAAATATATTAAATTAAATTGTTAAAAAATTAAATCCTTTAATGTAGTTTTAAGTTGCTTGAAAGACACTTCACAAATAAAAATGTCGGTAAGTGCATTGATAGAAGGATTTCTTAGCATTTAACAAGATTTCTTTGTATTTAAGAAATTATGTATCTAAAAAATCATTTCTTAAATATTATATCTTAGTATTTAAGGAATATTTCTTAGTATTTAATAAATATTTCCTGAATACTAAGAAATATTCCTTAAATACTAAAAAATGATTTCTTAATTTCAAAGAAATCTTTTTAAATAATAAGAAATCCTCCTATCAGTGTGTAAAGTGTATCAGCCGGAAAGTAGATCTATCTATTGCACGCCTCATAAGCGAAGCGTTGAGGTAGTGCTCTACTCTCGATATTTCAAAAAAAGCACTTTTCTCGAAACTGAAATTGATTTTTTTTTTATTTATATCGCACTTACAGGTTAATCTGAGTGTACTAATATCAAGTCAAATAATTTGTCAGGGACATAAAGTATATTTCAATAACAATTATTTTGTTTAACATAGTAAATAATAACATTAAAAATAATCTTTTCTGGACGTCCGAGTGTCTGTGTTTATGGATTGGTGTATGTGGCAGGGAAATTGCTCGAAAAAATCATCGTACTGGAATAATTTTTTTTTATTATCTAAAGTAACACCCTTCGGACTTTCTCAATTAATATGAGCGTTCAATTCACTGTCGTTAAATTATTATTTATAAAAAACTAATATATGATTGTATTTTTTTGTATATCTATCAATACATTTTATTATAGTATTTTTTTTCCTCGCCTTAGAATTATCGCGCCACTAAACCATAGCAGAGTTTTCTGTTTTTTATTATTTTGCTTTTTATATTTTATTTTAATTAATTTTATTGTGAAAAACGAGATTATGAGGCATGCACTTTTGGATTTTTCAATTTTTTTTTGATCTTTGCCACAATTGTAGACAAAATGAAGCTTGCATAAAAAAAAGAAATAATAAAAGTAACTTTTCTGGGTATTATTCGAAAGTTTATACACACCGTCTTAGATAGCAATCCCGGGTACAAGGACTTCACCCTCGGTATGTTAATTAACAGTATAAGCTTCTGGGGTGCAGGAAGCCTTTCCACCTCCTTTTATACATAACTAATTAGCGAACTTGGTATTCAGAGTATTTTCTTCCTTTTGCTCGATATACTCCCGACCATTTGTTAACCAACCTACTAATTTTGAACACACACTACCGCCCCCTTCCCCTTATCGCTACCTTCGCTGTCTCTTTTTTAGTTTAATAACCTCCGCATTTAAGACTTTTGAAAATTTTATTATTAACAATAAAATTTTGGAATAAAAAACGTTAATATTAAGTTTATAAAATAAAAACTGAATATTAGAGCGCTAAATTATAGATTTTAATTAACTTTTTAATTATTATTATAAAAATAGAATTATGAAATATAATTATTTTGAATTGATTATCAATAATAATATTATCTTGATAGTCGAGTAATAATTAATATAATATGAATTTTTTTCAAAAGATAAAAGCCATTGAAAATGTATTAACAATAATAATTAATTAATTTAACAAAAGAAGGATTATTAAAATAATCCGAAGCTAATTGTACGTTCAAAAAGTTAATTATAAATATTAAAGTCATAAATGCCTGTTAGATTATGAAATAATTAAATTAATAATGGTATTTCGGGTGTAGAGCAAAACAATTAGCGTATTCGTTAATTATCTGTTGGTGAATAAAACATTCAATAATCTATTATGCATACATATTTAATAAATACTTATATGTATATGGATATGTATATGTGAATGTGTAAATAAATACATGAACGGGATGTACGTATATAAATAATAAATAGAAGAACGTGCGAGAGCACTCAAACTACCGGCGATTAGTTAGGATCGATTTTATTACCAGCCCGATAAATAAGTGAGGGTGTTTCAAGCGCATTTACTCACCCGATCGCACCACGCACATTGTTTACGCACACAATAAACGTTAATAACCTTTTGTGAGGCATTTAATTTAATCCTGTCAATTAATATTTTTAATTTTTAGATTTTTCTTTTGCACGCCTCATAGCGCGAAGCGCGTGAGGTTGTGCTTTATACTCGACTCGTCAAAGTCAAGCAATTTTGTGATCTTTAAATGTCTCTATCACAACCATATTACATTTATACAATAATCTTAGTAGATGTACACCGAGAAAACACTTAGATTAAACCATCTTTTATTTTCTAAAATCATTTCATGTAGGTATTTTGATAAAAAAAACGTTTTAAAAAAAATTTTACGTGGACGTCCGGATGTCACCCCATTTTGGATGTACCAACGAGTACTCCCGAACAAATTGATATTTCAAGACCGGACCTTTTTTATTAGTTCAAGAATGCGATGAACTGGGTCCGTATTTCATATCAGTAGCCTAGTTTACGTATTTTATTTTTTTAATTGAATTTTTATTAAAATTCACTACGATACAACCGTGTAAAGACAAACGAATTTTTCTTATTTGTCACGTGAAAACTATGGCGCCACTTGATCAAGCTAGATTTTTTTAAACTGCGTGCGCATATGACAAGAAAAAAGGGCGCTGATATTTAAAAAAAAAAAAAAATACTCTGTAAGAAATTACTTAATTATAAGTTTTTTTTTTTTTAATCAATTACACAATTTATTTTTTCTTAAAAAATGAATGAGCGTTATGAGGCGTGCACTTTTGGATTTTCCAAACTTTTAATAATTTATTTTGAATTTTTAATAATTATAACAATACCTATTTCTTAGATAAAATAATAATTTACTTCATTATTTATTAATTAACATTTTATATTAATCAATAATTGGATACGCAGTTAATTAAATTAAAAATTTACTCAGAAAGTTCTCTCAAGAAAGTCAGAAAAATTAATTTTAGTTTAAAACATGAATTCTAAAAGTTAACTCTTTAGTAGGGAGAAGATTTGGAGACCATACGCCACCTGTTGGGACTTTTTAACACTAAATTTTATAAATAAATTATATATGGCCATATAAAGTTATATCAGGAGATAAATGGGCATTGATAATACATGTCAAGCCATATATTTTCTGATATACCCATATATGACATGATATATAGCCAATTTTATGTTACGAACATATATGGCAATATTAAAAAATTTTTTCTGTGAGTACAATAATTTATTTTCTACAATTCGACCAAAATATTATTATTATTTTATATAATAAAAAAATTAAATTTTTTATTAGAAATATATATTCTAAAAGTCAACTCTTTAGTAGGGAGAATATTTAGAGACCATACGCCACCTGTTGAAGCTTTTCAATACTAAATTTCATAAATAAATTATACATGGCCATATAAAGTCATATCAGGACATAAATGGGCATTATTAAGACATACCAAGCCATATATTTTCTGATATTCCCATATATGACATGATATATGGCCAATTTTATGTTACGAACATAATATGGCAGTATTAAAAAATTTTTTTTGTGAATATAATAATTTATTTTCTACAATTCGACCAAAATATTATTCTTATTTTTTATAATACAAAATTTAAGTTTTATTAGAAATAAATTTATGCTAGAAAATTTTTGAGAAAACTCATTCTAACTTACACCGATAATAATAATAGTTATAATTAATATAATACAATATTAACCAGTATCAAAATATAGACTCGAAATTAGTACAAGAGAACAGTGACAATCATAGGAGCGTGTATAACGACGTAACATTCTAGCGTATATTATTAACGTGTAATTGAATGCCCGTAAGCTTGCACTGGGAATATTCTATTGTGTAAAGTCGCGTGCGCGCCGCAAGTTAATTAAGAGCCTCTAATGAACCCGCCCGCGCAAACGACGTACCCTTACCTCTTGCCTCTTACCTCAGCTCCTATACTAACACCCCCGGCGTCTCAATCGATTTATTTTGAATCTTACATTGAGCTACCCGCATTTGCCTTCTTCTTCTTTTTTTTTTTTTTTTACGGTTTTTAATAACAATTTACAATTTATTTGTTGAACAATAAAACTAAGATTTGTCATCGAAATAATCCGAGAGTCAGACTTGAAATTTCATCTCAAAGTAAAGGAGAACCCGTTAAAGTACTAACCCCTTTACGTTATTATACATAATATAATGTAAGACTGAAGTAACAAAGCCGATGAATGCACAGAGACAAAGACAACGGTATTACTAAAGTTTATTATTAAAGAGAAGATAAAATTTTATTGGATATTATTTTTATTTAATAATCACCCCATCGACGTCCTCGTGGCTTTACAAACAGTTAAGATTAACTTTTATTGGAGTAATTAATTTTAAACCGAATGAGAACGAGAGGAGGAACAAAGACTGGTAATAATAGTAACAAAGAGGGAAAATAACTAAATAAAAGTCGTTATTCCACCCTCGAGCTTCTCCGCCTCTTATTTATACTTTATACTATTCTATCGCGTTGTATTGTTCTTACCTATTGATGCTTTCAAGATACTTTTTGTTAATAAAAGCTTTGTGTTTTGTTGTTTATAAGTTTTTTTTTAATTAAATTGTCGAATTAGCAAGTTGAAATTTTGAAAACAATTTTTATTATCCGAAGGTATGAATAATTTATTTAATTTTTATAAAATAAAAATTTTAACAATTATTTAATTCAAATATTTTGTAATGTTGTCTAAATAAAACTTCATAAAATTTTTATTAAAAATAACTTGAGTTAAAATTTTTCTGTTTTTTATTAAGATAATTTTTTAACTTCATTATTTTTTTAAAGAGTCTTGTAAGCGTTTAAAAATTTTTTTTTTAATTGCAAGAGTCGATAATGTTTTGACTCGCGATTGGTTTACCGCAAATATATAAAATGTTACGTATAAAATTAAATCTTATATTTTATACCAAACAAATGAGTTACTCAAATAAATTGTGAATAAAAGTTTAGTTCACAATTAAT